ATATTAAAGATATACAAAATTTAGTTTTAGTATATAATTTTTACAACTTTGACCTGGCATGGGCTATAATAGTGTTTTCATGGATTTTTTTTTTCTGCCTTTTTTTTCTTCTTTTAATTGTTTTTTGCTATTCGTTTTCTTTTGCTTTGACACTTTTACTTTTCTCTCTTTTGTTTTTACTTTTTTTTGTTTTAGTATTAGTATTTTTTTTCATAAGTCAGTTGAAAACTATGAATCCTTTTGCTCGAAAAGCTAGAAGAAGAAGGTTAGAAAAGAAGGTGATTTTGATAGGCCGTAAATCCATTTAAGGAAGTATTGAAACATCTAGTTATAGGGTGGGTTGATATGGAGATAAACTTTACAATAGCAGATTAAACATGGGCAATTTGGACACCCTTTGTGTTGCAAAGAGTCGGGTTAGCAAACACTTAAAAAAATTAGATAAACTTTGGTCAATATATTATACTCCCCGTGAGCTTGTATATTATACTAATAAAGTGTTGGCAAAATTGCTAAATTTAAAAAAAAATAAAAATAAAAATAATATCTTATATTTATTATATATATTTATTAAATTTTTAAATTTTGTATATAAAATTTTTAACACAAATTTTTTACATTATATTATATTCTACTATAAATAAACACCATTTTCTTTATTATACTTTTTTAAATATCAGAATAGCAGAAATAGTTTGGTTAAAGATCTCGTTGCAATTTTCAAAGATGTTATGATTTGTTATGATTTAGTTTTGATTCAAAATACCGGTTTAGGTAGCAGACCGCGAACTAGACCAGGATTCATAAACTAGTCTACTAAACCAATTCTAATTCAGTCTGGTTCAAGACCGGTCGGCTTCAGCCAATAGAGATGCAAATTTTAAAATATTTTAGACTCTAAGAAACATATAATGAATAAACTAGAACTACCTTGTGAAAAAATTTGATCTATAACCAAAGTTATGTGTCGCAAACAGAATCTCATCTGTTTTTAAATATGATTAACTATAACCGATAGGTTCAAGATAATTTCATCGATCCATGATTCAATTTTACGTATATAGTTGAAAATTGAAAATTTATTGTTAATATCAGGTAATCTGACATAAGAATTTGCTAGGAAAATCGCTAAAACAGATCTTTGAAATGTAATATCACATATACAGTATTTGGCTTATCGTTATTAAGACAGGTTTTAATTTATGGACTGGAGACTGATTCAGACCGCGGTCATTGCTAGACTGTAACATCCCAAGAAATTTTCGCTAATCTGACATTTAAAAAAAGTGGAATAGAGGGAGTGGTGCTTATTTACGATAGAATACGGTAAATGCCAACAACTACTACCCTGACAACTATTTACCCGACAACTACTGTACTTCCTCGATAATTATTTTCCCGACAATTATTTCCTCGACAATTATTTTCCCGACAATTATTTCTTCGACATAACCATTTTCATTCCCCGAAAACCATTTCTCGACATGTTGCTGGGGAAATGGGAAATGTTTGTCGGAGAATAATTGTCGGGGAAGTGGTTGTCGGGTAAACCTAATTGCAGTTTAGTAAAAAAAGAGATTTAATTTTTTTATACTTGTACAGAATTATTTAAAAAAATTTTGATTGCAAATTTACAAATTTAAAAAATTTAAAGGACCTTTGATTAATAATAATTTTTTTGTACAACTTTAATTGCATATATATTTAAAAATTTCGAAGTCCATCCCAGAAATTTAGAAACAATTACCCCGGATAGTCCCGAACAACATGCCTTAATCCCATGTCTCAGAGCCATGTGCAACAATACCCCTAACTATTTGTTTTCTATTTGTCAATGGAAGTTCGAAAAAAACTTTGAACTTGTTGCACGAAAAAAATATTAACGGTAAAACTTTAAAATTTTATTACAATATTATTGCCATGATAATTTGAATTTAATTACCGATAATTAAAATTAAAAATTTTCAGAAACTAAATTACATACTGTATAACTATGAACACTTATAGAATTTTTTTTTTTTAAACTTCATGAGTGTAAAACATGAATTTCTGAAATTTGAACCAAAAAAGAAGGTTGGAAACGAAAGTGTACAACACTGGCTCTAACAAAACGATAATATCCTTCTGCAATCTGCATCAAAAAGATAGCCAAGCCAAATTCACGTTTCACCCTTTTGTAAATAAAGCACCACTATAGCGCATCCCTAAGCGCATCCCTAAGTGTATCCCTAAGCGCATCCCTAAGTGTATCCCTAAGTGTCTTATCTATGTACCACCATGTCGCAATATTGTTATACTGAAGTACCACCGATCGCTAACCAGTAAAATTAATTCAAGTTAGCGCCATAAAAAATTTATGTTAATACTAACGCTAACAAAAATTTTTAATCAAATAAATAAAGTTAGTAGGAGAAATATACTAACGAAAACTTCGAGTATAACGAAACCCAATGGAGGATAAAATTAACAAATTGAAGCAAACTTAAAAGATTATCAAGTTAAAAATACCAGGTAATTAGTAGAAAACTAGGCGAAAAAGTAGTTCATAAATATTTTCATAATTTCAATAACAAATAGTGTCATGTATTGTTTAAATAATAATTTAAAAGGTATAGTGTTAACGTTAAATTTTTTTTGTACTAATTTTGTGTTTAATTAAAAAAAATAAGTACGTATATAAAATATATAACAAATATATACAAAACTGTTAATAAAATCCGAATGTTTAAATATTCGATATTATGTAACGATATACAAGATACATATATATATGTAAATGAATTATAAAAGTAATATTATTAATATTTATATAAGGAATAGTCTAAACATTAAAATCCAATAAAAATGGAATTTATAATTAGCAAAAGAATGATCATTTGTATTTCTTTCTTTTTTTTGAAATGGTATTTACGCTCTTGGCAATATAAATATGAATGCAGATGAAGTTTATTTTCAGTTATATAAATTTTATTGAGCACAGTAATTAATTATTGCATTATTATTATTATTTTATTAATATATTTTTAAGACGAGATAAGAATTGAAAATTAGATAGGTTTAGTAGTAGTTTTAGTAGTTAACGATGATACCATCCCAATATAGGATAAGATGAAGTACAGTGGAAGTTTATGAAGGAAATAGAAGATCTTTTAAAATGACAAAATCAAGTTCATTGTTAACGTTAAACTAATTTTTCACAAGAACATAAACTTGTTAGCTTGAAAAAAAAAAAATTAGCAAGATAATTATTGGTTTACGTTATCATGCATGGAATTCTAGTGTTAGTATTTTTAACTAAATTAACTAGTACAATAATATGATCAAATTAGGAATTGTTTCATTAATTTATTTATATGGTTAGCATTTATAGTAAGAATGATAACTAACACACCGAGTGGACTGTGCCGAACTTAAAAGCTTAATATAGAACCGGATATTTCATAACGTGAGAAAAAAATCTTAGCCAATGAGAATAGAACAAGCAAATATTTATGTCGGGAGCTTAGAATAAGCCGCAGAAATGTATAAGAAACATGAACAGGATCGTGGGAAAGAGGCTTAATACTATGAACGGTATGAACGGTATGAGCGCTATGAACGGTATGAACGAGTAGGGATTTAATCTTTGAACAATTTTCCTTTTTTCCTACTAATATATATAAAAATGGCTAGTAAATACTTTTGATGGAAATGGAATGCACAGGCTAGTATATTATAAGTACCATCTCGTGTGATCCTCGTTTAAAAAGAGGATTTTGGAGTAAAATCCGGTACTTCATTGTACAGACAATTGTGGCCTATTGATTGTTGAAAAAAATTATTTTTAGATTTTAGAGAGATTGATGAAAGACAAATTTAAATTTATCTTCTAGGTATGGCTATGGATTAACCGCCACAAACTAATATATACTCTACTTTGTTTGCCTGTAAATTATATCCGTAAGTCAAAGTTAATCAAAATATGCCATTAATAGTCATTGATTTTGATATAATTTTCTTTTGAATTATAAAAAAAATTATAAAAAAAATTATAAAAAAATTATAAAGAGTAAATAATCGTAAATAATCGGCGAATTATCTGCTACTAATCTGCAAAATATCAAAAATCGTCAAACCCGTCAGGGGAAAAAAAAGAATTGAGTCAAATTAATCATCACAGATCAGGGACGAAAAATTTAAATTAACTCCTTTTAAATAATAGTAAATATAGAAAACTTGTACCATTCTTAAAGTTAAAAAAATCCTCTCGATCCGATTTAGAACGCTCTTTATCTAAACCTTTTCTTTATCTAAAAAAAAGTAATTTAGAAATTAAAGAATAGAAATTTGCATATTTGCAATTCAAATATATACTTACTGTATGTCCAAAAAAAAATAAATTTTTTTTATACGTAGTCACGGCATCGTGCGTACAGTTAAAAATGTCATTCTGCTAATCTCCGGGAATTTTGGTTTATGCTTACATATGCTATTAATATAGCACATGGCTCTTTGCATCACTCTACGCCACTCCTTATACAGGGTTACGTATATTAACATAACATTATTGTATCTATTTTAAATCTAAATGATACTATTTAAAAACTTATTAAAGTGTATTTGTCGTTTTTGGTAAAATCTACCATTTTTGTCGTTTGTTAGCGAGTACTATTTTTAACTTGAGTGATTCGTTTAACAATTTTGGAAACACATGTTGCACCATTGCTTATACGGCATTAAAATTCAGCCTGCAAGATAAATAAATTAGCATTCCTGTCCATTTTTTTTTTTTTAACTTTTTTTTTACAAAATAAACAAAAAGCTTTAAATTCATTTATTAAAAAAAAAGACCTATAAATACCATTAATAAGAAGTATTTCTCGTACGTACCTTTTTCCTACGAAATAGTTAAAATATAGAGAATATATAGAAGAATTTGAAAATAATAAAAAAAAATTAATAAAATAAAATAAAATAACCTGTTGAACACTTTATTTACATTAAACAAATAAGAATAAATAATGAGCTCAGAGTTTGGAAGTCACCTTGGCTCGGAGAAAGGTTCTTGTTATCGTAAAAGGCGTCTATCAAAGATACCTGCTCCTGTTATCATTCCTCCTCCTTCTCCAACCGTGACTATTTCTTCACCTGTTAGTCCTGCAAGTGATTCTTATCTTGAATTACAAGCTCAAAAAACTCCTCAAAGTCCGTCAAAGAGATTCGTTTTAAGACCTATCACAGCTCTTACCGCTGCTTTTCAGAGAACTAGTATTACTGCTCGTAATAAGTCTACCTTATTAAAATTTCAAAAATCAAATAATTCTCCAAAAACTTCAAAACCTACCTCCCCAAAACCTTCTCCACAATCTCCTAAACC